AGAGCCCCACATTATTATTATTATTGTTGTTATTATTATTATTATTATTATTATTATTGTTATTATTATTATTATTATTATTATTATTATTATTATTATTATTATTATTATTGCACAAAATGGCATGACCACTGGAAATTTATATATTCAATTTTTTCTCCTGTAAATGCTAACTTTATAGTTTTCCTTGTATTTATTATTACTTTATTGTCCTTGTACAGAGTGGCATATTTCGTTCTTTAATTATTTTTGTGTATTTCTAGGTACTCATGCTAACTTTGTAATTGGCTTCTGTGCTGTTAAGTTTGTATGCAAATAAACATGAACTGAACTGAATTATTAATTACATTAATTGCTTTAGTGTGTCTTTGCTTCAGTGCTTACATTTAATTAGTCTGACTTTATGTTGTGATTGTCCATGTGCAATTACTTTTATCTACACTGTGCAGTGTCTGTAATAGGCCTCTAACAGAAATTAGTACCAGCAATCTTCATGGGGGAGGGGTAAAGGGTGGCGGGCGCGTAAGGCTGACAACCTTCCCACCATTTGTGAGCTGACTGCCTAGAGAAAATGTGAGAGCCTTGACGTCTCACAACCCTAGGGGCCTCCATGGCCTGTTATAGGGATAGCTTTACTTCTCAAGTTCTTTCTTTTATAAGGAAAAAAAGAACTACTATGGTCTAGCATCCACCACATTTGAATATACAAACAATTTTACACGGTATCAGAGTTTAATCTTTCAGAACGGTGAAAAATCTTATTCTGGTCTCCTAAGTTATTATAATGTGTTGCCTGGTAAATGGTTACCAAAGAACATACTGCCCCTGGCTTTAACAGACCAGCAGAAAACTCTGCTAACCATGTCATAAGCCAGAAGACCATGAATGAATTTTACATAAAAACTGATATCAGGCATAATGTTACATTGTAGCATCCTGTTGCACTGCTTAGATCTGACTTTGCGTTTTACTTTGATGCCATCTGTGTGCAACGTCAGTTAACATTCTCTCAGAGTTTTCTCTTTGTTGCCACTACATGTTTCGGCCTAACCAACCATTTTCAGGTGTACAGGCTGTTGTGATCAAGGAACCTGCTGCTTACTGTGATGCTATTCTGTTCCTGTTATGTAGAGGCCTCGGAATGCATCTAGTTATGTGGGTTAGTCACCTGTTGTTTATTTAGGTGTCCTTGAGCTGGGCATGTTTGTTGTGCTGTGGTTGATCATCAACACAACAAATTCCTGCCCCAGCAAGAACATTCAAGACAGCCACAGCCAAACAAAACCATGAAGCAAACACATGCAGCTCAAGGACATCTAAATAAAAAACAGATGACTAACCCACATAACCAGATGCAGTCCAAGGCCTCCACATAACAGAAACAAAACAGCATTACAGTGAGCAGCAGATTCTGCAATCACAACAACCTGTACACCTGAATATGGCTGGTTGGGCTGATACATGTAGTAGCAATAAAGAAAAGCAAGTGAATATTACGCGATGTTGAACATCGAAGGCATCAAAGCAAGACACAAAGTCAGATGATATCATGCACATGTGTTATCCTCCTACATGCAAACACAGCAAAGCAAGAGGGGCAGTTTGTTGGACAAATAAGTATCAGTCTGACATGGCGGCACACATCAAACTGACATTTATCCCTGTAATACTGTAATAGTATCTTCCTGTCATGTTTCGGTCTTGACATGCATAGATTTTCACTTCAGTCTTGACATGCACAGATTTTCACTTCAGTATTGACATGCACAGATTTTCACTTCAGTCTTGACATGCACAGATCTTCACTTCAGTCTTGGCATGGACAGGTTTTCACTTCAGTCCTGACATGCACTGACTTTCACTTCAGTCCTGACATGCAGAGATTCTGGTGGCATAGCTGCAAGAGAAAAGGCTGTCTGAAAGAGCCATGCATGGAAGATAGGAGAGCGTAATGGACGTCAGAGAAATGTTGTAATTTGATCGTTATGACTGTACAGCAACAACTCCTTCCTCATATGGCAGACAAGTCGCTTGAGGTCTCATGCTGGTAAGTCACAGGCCTGAAACAATCACATGAATAGCATTAAAAAAGAGATTCTGATTTGCATGTGAATTTGTATGTATGATTTCAAACAAGATGCACTTTTAATTTCAACAGAATGTAAAACTTCTATGTGGCTTGTAATAACAAAAAATTTATGGTTACATAACTTTCCTGCGTGATAATACTTGGCAACCCCCACCCCCCCGAAATATGTTTACTGGTATTATCATGTTCAGTTTTTGCCTCAAGATTGAAAAATACAATTCAATGGTAAATGTGTGAGACTTTTGACAAACTTGTCAATACAGATCAAGTATTTGCTGGTATACATACTGGCCTAAAGAAAAGGTACTAATAATATCCATAAGTAAAAGTAAAGCTATCCCTTAACAGGCCGTGAAGGCCCATAGGGTTGTGAGACATTAAGGGTCCCACATTATCTAGACAATCGGCCCAAAGATGGTGGTAATGTTGTCAGCGTTACGCGCCGGCCGCGCTTTACTCCCCAGGAAAATTATTTAATTAATTCCTGGTACTCATTTCTGTTAGAGGCTGAGTAAACCCCAGGGCCTAGTGCGGCCGGAAGGATTAGGTCAATTGAAAAAATCCAATGACCTCATCGGGACTTGAACCCGCGACCTTCCGGCTTGTAGCACAGTGCCTTAACCACTATGCTAGCGCATATTATTATAACGAAATAATACCCATACACTAAGTAAATTTTGTTTATAGATATCTCCATATTAGAACACTGTAAATATATATAAAAGTAAAGACTTCAACTCCTTAAAAATGGGAAATTAATTTCCATTCCCTTACAAATGAAAGCCATGCAATACTGCACTACTTATATATAAAAAATTTCATGGAAGAACTCATGCTTATTTTCCATTTCCAAACTCCTATCCAAACAAAATTCCCAGTCAGTAATTATATAATTCTGTACTCTACATTTCACTTACTACAGACAGAACACCATGATATCCATGATTCACTGTTTCACAAACTTTGATGTTGGTACAGCTTTCATAAAACGCAATTATCTAGATTAGATTATTAGCAGGGACAAAATATTGGTTCTAGAGGAACTGGAAACAAAATGGAACAAGAATATTCAAGCACAATAACAAATGCCAAGAGCAATCAGCTCATAAAATGAAAATGCTTATCTTCCCCAGAACCTGAGTCATGTATCAGTGCCATCATTACAAAAAGTGTTAACATTCTGCTCAACAATTAATAAAATATGGCTATAAACCACTCAAAACACTATGCAAGGCATGGAGAATTGATGGGAGTCAACACAAACTTTCATACTGCAAAATTATTGGCAAGGGAGGTAACCGAAACAGTGAAGCTTCATTACTTACAGTTCACTATGACCAAGCTCATACTTACCAATAAAGAAAAGTGTTTAACACAAAATTTGTATCTACTTTTAAACTCTCCTACAACGCCAAATACAAACTAATCTATACTGTGAAGTGCTGTTTTGTAAGTACCTGTAATAATATTAATCTTTTCTTCTAACAAATAACGAATCATATAAACATGCATAACATTTCTAAGAAGCCCTTCCCTCTCTCTCCAATATGATACCATAAAGGCATACTTCAAATAATCAATTTCTAACACCCGTATTAAGAGTAATCATTATTTTGCACCTAAAATCAGCATCTATAAATTTGTCATCAAATGACATATCTGTTTCATCCCAAAGTATACTAACTGTGAGTTTGTTAATTTTTTCGGTTACAGTGATGGGCTTACGTTTACAACCACCTCAAGGAGCTGAAGCACAGACACGTTCAACCATACCCCAACTGCAGAGCTGCAGCGTCACCTCTAGTAGGAGTCTACATGATTCAAATTTATATATTCACGAAGATGTACAGTGAACAATATTTGTCAAGTACACTTGCCTCCTGCTTACTGAACAAATTTATATCAAAACAAATCATCACAGCATACACAGAAAGCTCTTACATTACAAACATATCACACATGTAACGCCACACTACCTCAACGTACGTAAATATCACAGAATATTACTAATTAATTAAAATCCTGTAAACTTAATTGAATTTAACATAACCAAACTCCTTCCGGAACCCCTCCCAACTGACACACCTGTCAAGCGAATCGGAACTAATTCTAACAACATAGATTGCCATACATAGCACTTACCGAACTTACAACTGGTCAAGCAGACCGAAGTAGACTGCGACTGACTTGTTCCACATCCCTTCCCAATCCAGCAATTATTTCATCACTCGGGTACAACTCGAGTATGAGTTGCTTATAGCATAGTTAATAAAATCATAAAATACTGTAAGTGAAATGAGACTAGTATGTTTTCGTATGTTGCATGCACCGTGATTGAGCGGTGACTGAGTGAAGTTTACCACCATTTATCAGCAGGAAAGTTGTCTGGCATCAGATAGCTTAGCGGTGTAAGGAACGTAAGGAACTTGAGGAACGAGGAAGGTGTACGTGGTGTAACGAATTCTCTGATTGGCTCACACTTTGCGATTCGATTAATTGCGATAGGTGTATAATGATATAATGATCGATTCCAATCGAGATGGCAGTCCTGCACGGTCTTGCATGTTTCCCTTTCCTCTATCTCAATCTCAACCCCACTGTTCGTGATAATCGTAATCAGCGTTGGTCGAAATTGTCAGTTGTAGCTTGTATCAAATCAGAAATGACAGACAAACCGAAAGTAGACTTGGGTCTTCTTGAAGAAGATGATGAATTTGAAGAATTCCCAGCAGAAGGTAAAATCAATATTCCTTCACAATGTAGTTTCATAACTGAAACAATTAATAACACTGTAAAACATTGTCGAAGCAGAATGGCGATTTTAGGCTGTGAAGTTAAATTAAAAATTGTACTTAACTTGCGTCATTTGCGTTTTGTAGATGTTAACTTCATTTAGTTATGAGGTTATATTAAGAATTGCATAAAGTGCATCAGTTACATTTTGCATATAATTGTATTCTGTATTCGGTTGTGTTACTATTTGAACTACTTAGGTCACTATTCTAACCTAAGCAGCCCCCTTAACCTATCATTGGGTTCGGGCAAATTGGTGGCTATATTGTAAAGATACATTTTGAATAGAATAGAATATATGAGGGGTAGGCCTTCTCAGCCCTGGCACCGCGACCTTAGATCTATTGTGCTTCCCCTTTTTTAATTATTCCCTCAGCAACCCGACGCTTCGGATGAAGCGCAGGATCTTGGACATGGGGACGTCAAAATAGTCACTTGGTTCCATGAAGTACTGGCCCAAGTCACATAATCTTAAATAAGCCAATGCCTCACATTCACACAGGACGTGTGTGGCTGTTTCATCTTCTAGCTGACCCCTCTCATAGGTGGGACTGTCACTCAGTCCCAGTTTGGACAGGTGTCCTTTGAGGTGACAGTGTCCTGTAAGTAGTCCTACCACCCATCGTAGCCGGTTCCTGTTGAGCTTCAACAGTTCCTTCGCTCTTTCAGCTGAAGATCCTCATATGAGTCCCTTTGCTTGCCTGAGTCCAGTTAAGGATTCCCAGTATCCCTTGTGTTTCATGTTAGTCCAGTCCCTGATTGCCTGTTTGGCAACTCCTAGAGAGATGCCACAGGCTGGTTCAGGTCCTATGAACGGGTGTTCAGCTCCAGTTTTAGCTAATTGGTCTTCTGCTTCATTTCCAGCAATACCCC